ATACTTTTTTTTAGAAATAGAAAATTTTAAAAAAAAATGCCTATACTTATTTCTTTGATGAAGGTTTGCTTTTAAAATTCAAATATATAAAGAACATCATTGTCATTCGAGTAGGTTATTTATTAGTTATAATTGTTAACCATCAATTAGTGCAATGCTTCTCTTTGCACTTGTCTTTATCGTTGTCGTTCTACCTCATTCAGCAAGGGAAAATACATCTCACTTAACACATGTTCACCTTGAATAATAATATGACTCATATTATGCATTCACTCACTCTATTTTAAGTGAACATATGTTGAATAATTAAATTAGTCCTATCATTTTGAGTAATGCTTACGACTTACGAGTATAATCTTTATATTAAAGTTACGATATAAAAAAAAATTACAACAAAAAATTGATATAAGTAATAGGATTATTCATCGTTTCAAACGAATATAAACCCGAAAAATCACAAAATCTAAATGGTTTGCGTATAATGTAGCGCAAGTCATACCCCTACCAATAGAAAGTACTGCAAGTCGTAATACTCTTATAAGTGAAGTGTGATAAGTAGATGTAGCTTTTGTTTTTCACGCATAAAAGACAACAAAAATGAAAATAAAATTCCAATTAAATCTGACTTATTATTGGATGAGTTCATCATCAAGTTGCAAAGTCACAAATTATTGTCTGACAAAAACAATCTAGATTCAGGGACCTGAATTTTTTGTCTACCAAAATGAGTGAATGACAAATTGACAATTGGCCAAAAGCTTTTAAGCCCTTAAGCTTTTGGATTAAATGAGATATAAGGACAATAAGTTTATGTTTAATTATCCTTTTAGTAATATACATGTACTTAATTGTAAATCACTAAATATATAATTATTGATTATTAGTTTACAATTTGTTGTTGCTAATTTATTAAAAATTATATGATTACTAATTAATATATTTATTATTATCATTATTCACTACTTATTAATTAGCTCTTTAATACTCCCTATTTGTTATTGGATATTTAATACTCAGTACTAGTTATTTAATTACTGATTACAATATTTATTACATTCCATCTTTGAAAGTTCTCCCTATTTGGACTAGGAATGTTTCACAGAAATGTCAAATTAGGAAAAAATTAGACTCTGATGAATTATTAATCACGAGTAATTATAAAGCCAATCAAATACAATTTTCGACTATTTGAAAAGTTTTAAAGTAAAAAATAATAACCAATGAAAAGCTAGCCAAAAGCTAAGCCAGATGACATTTATCACATACCCCTTATATTCCGATCCATTATATATATATATATATTTTAAACAACCCTAATCAATACGAACACCAAATACCTCACAAGTCCAAAACCAAAAACATGCATCACATTAGTTGTACCACTCAATGCTACTCATACAATAATATAATATAGGAAATGAGGATCGGATGTCTTATAAAGTTATAAGTACAGTTACTAAATAGTAGAGATTATTAACACATTGGTCCAATTAAGTTACATGATTGTTACATGTATGATAATATGGCTATATATTTATGTGTGTTAGTTGATAATGCAAATAGGGGCAAATAGCATACCACATGTCGCGTTGCCAAAGCTGCAGCCATATATATGATAATAGTACAGACAATTTGACTGACATGCACCATATATCACTTCAATTTCTTGGGTTTAAGCCTCTAAATTTTCTTATTATGGTCCCTCCATTTTTCTGCCTTTCACCATCAAAGTGCCAATAATAACAGGCAAAAATATGTTGTCTTTTAGACTTATTTGCTTCATAATGATGGTGAATTTATGGCCCATCCTCCTATAATTTTAACGACAACCTCATATTGTTCATGTTAGTAGCTAGTACTACAACCTAACACGGGGCAAGGATCATATTGCGTTAGACTTTACCTTTATTTATTTCACATACGTATTAGTATATAAGTTCAAATAAGTCTCAATAAAAATATAAGTATATTAAAGTTTTAGAAAAATTAAGGTTATTTAAATTCAGTTTATTTTTACAAATTTAGATCTCTTAAGAAATTCAATGCTAATAAACTCAAATGTTTTATTATAGGTTTAGGATAATTTTGGTAAAGAGTATACACTATAAGCTCAAATAAGATCGTTAGGATAATCTGAATGATAGAAATTCGCATGAATGACACATTATAAGACTAGACTAATGAAATCTTGAAGCATGATAACCGAAGACTTATGAATGAATTATCGTCCGAATATATATGTGTTTGTTGATTCCTACGTACCAAAAAATAATTCGAAAGAGATATGAACACATGGAAACTTGGAAAGATCCATATCTTACATGAATTTGATTCACGGGTAAGTTAAAGTATAGTAGAAGCCTTTTAAGTAAAGATTATATGGTTTATATTGCTTGCTTCTAAATTCGAGTACTAAACATGTCAGAAACACTAGAACCAAATTCAGCCCTAAATTCTTTTACGTGAATGCTTTTATTATATGAATTGGTTTCTTTATTTTAGTACTCCAAAAGTTGGTGAAGAATTTTGGTCTTGGACTCTTTTTTTCCGTAGAATTTTCTCTCTTATTGGGAAATTCCATGTAGTGTTTACGGGGAGATCGAGGACAATTACATGATTTATCTATAAAAAATCATTAAACATTTTATTCCATCCTCATTAGTTTAATTAGAGATTTTTAGGGTGGTTTGGTTCGCACTGGGTAAATGGAATAGAATGAACAAAGAAAAAGGAAAAATATGGAATGAAAATACCTTATATTCTCATGTTGTTTGTTTTAAAAACAAAGGGAAACAATCCCACCAGTCCCACCACCACACAACCACCTAATTCATTCACTTTCCACCTTTTCCAGCCACCATCCATCCACCAAACCACTCGCTGCACCTCCCCAACCATTCGCCGCCCCTCCCATGCCCCTCGCCGGCCCCCGCCGTAGCTTTCCCCTCCCCCGAAAAACAACCCTTAGCCCCAAAAAACCTTAGAAACTAGTCTCACTCCCCGTAAAACCCGTCGTCCGGCCTTCCCCCCACCCTTGAAACCCTAGCGCCTAGGGTTTCGAGGGTGGGGGAGGGTCGGCCGGCCGTTTTACAGTGAGGGATAAGGGTTTTTTTAGGCTTTTACGGGGATGGGGGGATAGGGTTGCGGGAGTGCGGATGGCCGGCGAGGGGAAGGGAAATGCGGTGAGGGGTGGGGGAGAGGCGACGAGTGGTGACGTGGCTGGCCGTGGTGCGGGTTTCCGGTGATTTGGGTAGGTAAGAGGGGTGGTATGGTGGTGTAGTGGTGGCTAAGGAATGGGAATGAAAATACCTAGGGGGTGGGGAATCAACTTAGAAGGATTTGGGGGAATGAAGAGGGTAAAGGGAATGGGAAAAAAGGCCTAATAAACAACAACAGAGGGAATTAAGGCAGTTGATTCCCATTCCCTTTGATGAATACCCCTAACCAAACGGCCTCTTATTGTTTATGAATTATGTTAAGAAAAAACTTACAGAGTAATATATAAGATACGCATAATGTGAGAATTTTGATAATCATGCATGTCGTAATTTATTGTCTATGAAAGCTTATCTTAAGTGATTGATGGATACACCTAACGTGCGCAGAGTAATCCCATTCTAACGTAATTACTCCGTAAATATTAAAGTCTCAGATTATTTCATTAGCAAATATTTTCACGTGTCAAGATATTATTAATTAGTTATTAAAGTCATCACATGGGCACAAAATTTAAAGAGATTTTAGAGAGTTAACAAACAAATTTTCTAAAATAACCTAATCACGAGAGGAAATATTAGGTTAGTGTGATTTGTTCATTGTAATTAATCTTGTTGTTTGCCCTTTGTAATCTCTACTTAAAATTATGCACATACTCGTGAATAAGTTGCAAATACTTCCAAATCTTTGATGGAAATTTAGGTCCCCTATAGGGTTTCTCCTTGGGAGGTTTTTTTTTTTTTTTTTTTTTCCCTCTAGGGTTTCTCTCTTGGGAAGTTTTTCTAGCCTCTATAGCTAGTTTTTTTTTTTGCTTTTCTGAAGGTTTTTTCCTTCATTCTTTTCCTTTTCTCTCTTTCTCCTTCAATTCATCTCTTTTCTTCTGATCTCTTTTGTGAATCTTTGTAGGGGATTCTATCGATGTTTTTACCAGTGGTGAGCCTCGAAAAAACTTTTAAATTGCTTTCAATAAATAGATCTCATCTTTGAGATTGTGGTTATTCTATTAGGGTTAATTTCTTTTTGTGTTTGTCTGTCGAAGATTGAAAATTTAGGGTTTCATAATCTCCGTAAGTATCTTGAATACCATATGAGTATTTTCACTCAAACAACTATTCATCAATGGATCTCAAGCCGAATTAGTGCTAACTCACATATTGTATTGCTTCGGATGAAGTTTTTTATTAAGGCGATCGTCGATCGAATCTATGATGTAACTAGTTCTAAGGTGATTTGTAGTTGTGTTGGAATACTAATGTTCCTCGGAATTGTTTGTAAGTATCGTTTGGCTATCTTTCATTAATAAAATCTTTATTCTTCTTGTAAAAAAAAAGTTGCAAATACTTCCTCCGTTTTTCATTTATTGCACCATAAGGACTTTTACACTATTCACTTAATCTTCTTTGCCCATCATTTGTAATTTATCTATTAGGAAAAACATAGTTATGTGAGATCTAGTTAGATTCGTCTCGAAATCTACTTTTCAAATATTGTTTTTTTTTTTTAATTTTTACTAAAGTATAATTGAAGATATTAATAGTAAAAATAATACATTGACAAGCATAAAATCGCTCATGGTAAAATAAAAAAAACGGAGGAAGTAAAAAGAAACGGAGAAAGTGATAAACTTGAGCTATGGCCAAACTCCAAAACCAAAGTGGGTTAATATGCCGCCAACAAGTCATAATTCAAAGTCCACTATTGATGATTAACACCGTAGAAAATAATGCACCCATTTTATTTCCAAGTGTCATTGCTGATTATAAAATCCACGTGCATGGATTGTTATTTGATCATAAAATTAAATTATTTATGTTTCTTAAAAAAATTAAAATCACTCTTTAAATAAAAATCCAAAATTTCTCTCTCATTAAATAACCTCCTTTGGGCCCTCATCTCCATTTTTCTCTTTCCTTTCCGCCTTTCTCCCCCAAAACACCAAAAATCACACAACCAACGCTTGTTTTTTTCACCCAAATTACCAGGAACTACAAATTCAACAATTTTATTTATTTATTTTTTGATTTAGTAGAGAGAGAAAGTAAGTTTGATGAAACGTGAATCCCCAGAAATTCTGTGTAAAAAAAAAAATTACAGAGAAAAAAATGGCGAAGAGTGAAGCGATGGGTGTTTCAGATGGAGAAGTTTTGATTGAAAAGGGCAATAATAATAACAACAATGGTAATAGAATCAAAGCCAAAGAACTTAAGAAGGATTTGCTGACACTAGTTATGGAAATTAATCAAGAAGAAGATGATGATGATGAAGAAGTTGAGAGAGAAAATGGAGTAATTCTGGGTACAATTGATAAAGCAATTCAGGCATTAACTGCATTGAAAGAGTTGAAGTTGAAGAAATCGAAGAAGAAGCGTGCACTTTCTTCTCAGTTTGATCAGTTGAATGTTCCTGATGAATTTCGTTGCCCCATTTCTAGAGAAATTATGAAGGACCCTGTTGTTTTATCTACTGGACAGGTTCGATTTCTTTCTGGGTTTTTGTTTAATTTTTCTGGGTTCTTGTTTAATTTTTATGGGGTTTAATTGATTTTTTCTGGGGTTTTTTAATAGTTAATTAATTGTTGTTGATATATTTTTTTTCCTTCCCTCTAATTTTCTGGGTATTTTTTGAATGTGGGAATATCTGTGGGTTTTTCCTCATTTTTTGTTGGACTGTCGGTTTGGCATTTTCCTGCATAGTACATGAACTTTTCTTGTTTGGTGAACTGAAATTTTTTATCAGTCGGTGGATTTTCCCGAATTTCTGGGTTTGAAAACTTTATTTTAGTATAGTTTAATGTATGAAATGGAAGTTATGTTGTTGTTCTGAAATTTTGTTAACTGATGAAATATCTGGATGGTAATCTTTAGTTTGGTATGGTTTAATCAGAGAATGCCAGCAGTTTTAGCTGTAGCAGTGTCTGTATCCACAATTCCAATTACTAGAACTAAAAAAATTGGTTAGAAATTATAAAAAATTAACATTACAATTAAAACTAACAGTGGTTGAGAAATTCTGCCTTATCCGTAATCTTGGGGTTAATCTTTCCATGTGCTTGACTGATACTAGAATGTGGAGGGAAAGGTCTTAATTAATGTGATTGTTCTGTGTTTAAGTTTATTAAATGATTTTAATAGTAATGGTGGAAATGTGTAATGATGTTATTGATTCACTATCTAATTATATATGCAATTTGCCGAAATTGGAGAATATGGTGGCTTGTTTTGGAGGATAATATGTGAATCTTGTACTGTAAGAGTGGTTTCTATATTTGATTGCGCTTTTGTTGTTGACGTCATTGTGAAGCTTTTTCTTAAGATAATGAGATTATTCATTGGATGATTGATGAGAGTTAAGAGCTGTATCAAGTATCGATAGGACATTAACGAGAATCATGGATTTTTGCTTGGGGCTGATTTGCAGTGGATTCATTATAGTGGGTTTAAAAGGAAAATGAATTTGCCATTTAATGTTCGGGGTTTAGTGTTTATAATTGGTTTGCTTTATTGCGCTTTTTGCAACCCCTATGAATTTTAATGTAATTTGATCTGATTTGGGTCTTGATTTATGAGATATCGTCCTCCATTTGCAGACTTATGATCGGCCATTCATTCAGAAATGGTTAAAAGAAGGTAATAGAACTTGTCCTCAGACCCAACAAGTGCTTTCTCATATCGAGCTCACCCCTAACCATTTAGTCCGAGAGCTGATATTACAATGGTGCAAGGATCATGGAATTGAACTCCCTCCCCCCCTTCAGGATGTCAATGATGGATTCGTAACTGATGCTGATAGAAATCATTTGAATATGCTTCTGGACAAAATGTCTTCTACTCTTTCTGAACAAAAGGAAGCTGCAAAAGAGATCCGTATGTTGACCAAGCGAATGCCATCTTTTCGCTCCTTCTTTGGGGAGTCCACTTATGCGTTGCCGCAGTTGCTGGGCCCTCTTACAACCGCAGAAAGCCTTGAGGATCATCCTGATCTTCAAGAGGATCTTATAACTACTATATTGAATCTTTCTATACATGACAGCAATAAGAAGCTTATTGCAGAGTTCCCAGCTGTCATTCCTTTACTGATTGAATCTTTGCAATGTGGGACCATTGAAACAAGAGCCAATGCTGCTGCTGCGCTTTTCACATTGTCTGCACTCGACGAAAACAAGCTTCTTATTGCTGAACTGGGAGCTTTGAAGCCTTTGATCGACCTTCTGGAACAAGGGCATGAAACAGCCATGAAAGATGTGACATCTGCACTCTTTAACCTGTGTAAAATACGGGAGAACAGGGGTATAGCTGTACGTGATGGGGCAGTTAAAGTGATACTAGAGAAACTCAAGGAGCGGGTGCATGTCTCTGAGTTATTGGCTATCCTTGCTTTTCTGTCAACCCATCATTTAGCAATTGATGAGCTAGAAAATCTTGGTTCAGTGGATTGCCTGCTAAGTATAATAAGCGAAAGTTCGTGTGAACCAGATAGGGAAAACTGCATTGTGATTCTGCATGATATCTGTGGATACAGTCGTTTTGCTCTGAAGGAGGTTCGGGATGAAGAAAAAGAAAAAGGAATCATTTCTAATCTTGCGGAGAATGGAACTTCAAGAGCCAGAAGGAAGGCTAATGGTTTGCTGAATAAGTTGAGGTTGAACAGACGCATTAACTACACCCATACTGCTTGAAGCATGTTCCATAAGAGAGTTTTGTACATATTGCTGCGTCGTTCAGTCTTTGTATACATGTAAAGTTGGATACTACCTCGGGGGTGAATTGGCGGTAAGTTCTGTTCCCTACCCTGCCCCCGACTCTTTCAGCAATGTACAGTACTACTACTATAGCTACTACTGCAAAGTTTTGGTTTCCATTTGTTTCAAATAAGAATGGTTTGTCTGTGATCAGAAGGGAGAAATTCAATGCTTTTCAGTCATCAATTGAATTAGTTTTTAGCCTTTCTAAGTTCTCTCTGGCAATAAGCCCGTTGTGGATAGGACCACCGAATGTAGTTGTGATTATCACAATTAGCATTTTGGTAAATATATTTCTGTGGGCCACTAAGTGGGGTGATTTGCTTGCTAATTAGCTATAAATGAACAGATTGGAACTCTGCTTGTTGTTTTCAAAGCCAATCTTTTGCTAGTGTCGGTCGTCCTGCACATAATACATTGATTGATTTGCACCCCTCTTCTTCAAAGTTGCGCCTTTTTTTCTCGTTATGGTGATGTCTTTCTGCTTCTTGTGATAATGACATATTATAGTGGCTGAGAAAGTTGTTGCAAGTGGAGTTGAATGTCTAGAAATCACGGGAAAAGGAATGGAACCAAGAAGCAATTAGAATATTGTTTATATAACTAGTTATTCTAGTTTTATAGACCCAGGTTGGTGTGCTTTTCAGCATGATGCATAGGTAGTTTGGGGGTGATTTTCATGCATCTCTTTTTTTATACCATTGTCGCACTAGATTCTGATTTTGGAATGAGGTTGTTGCGAGCAATGATGTCTTGTTTTTGCTCGTTTCTTGTTTGAAGAAAGATAAATAGAGTCCTCATGTTGATTTTGTTTGACCCCTTTGGGAAACTCCTTTACCCTTTCTCGTAATCCTTGGGTCTGATGTCTTGAAAACTAGGTTACTACTCGGACAGTCGGACTGAATTCAGTTTGGATCACAACAGATTGACTAATACGGGTTAAGATTTTTTGTGAGTCAGGTCGTAGGAGATCAGATACAACTGTTGGGTTGGTTTTGCAAGGTCTAAACAAACTATAGTCGTTGATTGAGATAGGCCCACCTCAAGAAGAGCCTCCTCTAGAGTATATAATATTCTTTTTGTTTGTGTGTGTTATTCAAGTTGCATCTTGGCGTGCATTGCTTATGTCAAATATCTTACCAATGCACCCACTGAACACAGATATTTAAGATTGTGAGTTTTTTAAATTTGTCGGCAATTGGTAATTGGTCCTTAATTATTAGTTTTTACTATAGATTTCAGAGTATGGGAAAGTTGGTGATCCTTTGTAAAATTCTTTGCTTTTAATTTTGGGCCTTCAACTTTTTTGATTTACTTTACCACCCTTTTGATTTCATCCAATCAAAGTGGGTTATATTTTTGGTTGATAAGAGATTCCAAATACAGTATGAAGTTTCTAGGTCAGAAACATTGCACCATAGGACGATTAGACTACATGCTGATGGGGTGCTCTGCTTTTCCACCATTGACATGGTCAAACTTCAATGAACACCAAACAACTTAATTCGGCCAAAACAAGTTTAAACGTTTGTATTCGACTATCTTCATAGCCCGATTATAGGTTTAAATGCTTATATTCGACTATTTCCATAAGACCCACAAGAGATAAGATCGGTTTAATATAAGCTGCCAAAGTTAATTGATACTCACGGAACATCTAATAACTTGAATATATAGATCTTATATACAACAGGTGTATATCTCGAACATGACAAATTGGATGGTAAGCGTGAGACTTTAAAAATGCCAAATGTTAGATGGGGAATGGGGGGTTGTCGGTTGAATTTAGTTAACAGTTGATAGACGACTTCCAACTGAAGGGAGTACTGAAAAAAGAGTGTCGTGAGAGAATCTTAAATTCTAAATATAATAATAATTGTACTCATTCATGTTATGACAACGTAGATGTTAGTGTTATGTTATCACAGCTTTTATAAGTGGTCCCCTCCTTTATTCTCTGTGAGTCAGTTTGAGAGTATTTGGTGTCTTTAACGTATGAATCAACTCAACCTTTACTACAGTACTCACTATTACGTCACTTTAAGGTCTTCTGTTGAGGCCCATTGTTTCATCTGTTGTTGCAGTCTTATAAATATAGCATCTTTTTTGCATTAAAAATGTCTTCAAGGTGGCTAAGTTATTAATCATCTAATACTGAGCTAATCCATTATTTAGTTGAAGTAATAAGATATTAGATTGACAATTTTATATCTTATTATGGAGTAACAACTCCTCCAAATAGTTGCCGATATTAAGTTAGTTGCTACATCGTTGTTATACATCTTGTTAATTAGCTTTGGTAAGCAAATTTGCTTTATATAGCTAATTAGCTTTGGAGATACGAATTCGATTTTAAAAAAAAAATGTTTAAAAAATAAAATGTCGATGTAATAATATGTTGATGTGGATGTGGCATGACATATTTTTGTATGAGCAATTGATTATAAAGATGTTTGATGAAATAAATTATTGATTTTGTGTGGAAAAGTTGATTGATGAATTGTACACTCTATTTCATCTAGTTTAAATTGATTTTGTTGGAATTTGGAAGGTTACTATGCTAATAGGAAAGGGACCAAAAGATAGTGGCAAGTCAATGAGCATTAAAAAGGTATTTCGTATTACTTACTATGAATAAGTGAATAATACCACTCTTATTCGTGGGCAAAAAAAAAAAAAAAAAAAGTCATTCTCACTCTACCCACTTTCTTACTCCTCTTTCTCATTTTATCTCATGGGCATTTAATTTTTACAACTTCTCACATATTTATGGGCTAAACAAAAACCGACACCACTCTTTCTCTTATTTTCTCTCTCTCCTACCCATTATCATCATCTAATTTTTTACTCTAGATAATTCCCTCTCCTACACACTCACGGCACTTTTAATTTGCTGACCCAGCTTTTTTTTTTTTTTTTTTTTTATTTTATTTGCATGGCACCAACCAACCATTACTATGGGCATTGCTATGGGCATTTCATCACTTCCTCATGGACATTTTTTTTTTGTGCTCATGAGTGGGAACCAATAAATCCAATTTTTTATTGTAAAATACTCCTCATAGGCAAAAAAATATCCATGAGTGAGAGTGCTCTAACGACGAGATTAGATAAAAACATTTACATACACTAACGGATGCAGTAGTATCCTACTTGAACTTATCGTGAAACTACTTCCTAGGTTAAATGAAAATAAGGTTAGCCGAATAAAATAAAAAACATCCTCTATACCTTTACCTAATTGTCCAACTATGCCCTATATGGCTCATGCAAGTCATGGTAAAAGTTTTAATTTTGGCGGTCATCACCGTTCACCGATCAGAAGAGTTGATGATAGAATTCATGCTATAGTTGATAAACCCATTAATGATTTATAACCTTACAAAAAAGTCTTTATTGTTGGACCGATTTAACTTTAACATGTGATATGTGATACTTGTATTTTGTATTAAGACTGGACCATGCCAGATTGCCAGCCTCTGGTTGTATCTGTCGGCCCAATTATGTGCTACTTTTCTACTTTGTCCTACTACACTCCTACTGCCTCATATTGCTTACTCTAGCTTTGTTTCTTTCATTGCTTTTTTTGCTCATTTCAATTTTACTTTAAGCTAAAAAGTCTGAGTAGAAATTACTTTATTTATTTTATATGATTTCCCCTTCAGCTCTATTTTTATTTTGATTATCATCTAATTAGCTTTAAGTATCATTAGTTTAAAGTATTAATGTGGTTGTTTAGGTGGATTTAAGAAGTTTCGCGTTTTGATTTGCAAATGTTACAATATCAAATACAACTCCTTAGTTATGTAGAAGATGCCGTTAATCATAATTAATACTCCCTCCATTCCAGAATATTTGGAATGTTGGGATTTTTTTCACTATGCATGTATTAGCTAGGACTATATTTTTTTACTAACATAATAAAAATATATTTTATACGAATTGTAAAATTTGTTATTAGATAGATATTAATATAAAGTTTCATAATATAATTTTTAAAATATAATTTTTATTAATATTTAATTATATAAAATTAAAGTCAAACTAGTAAATTGGCATGTGTACAAAGTTGATTATGTTGGGACAAAGGGAGTACACGCAACTTATTTAGAATTTTAGAGTACAGTAGATTTTCATTTCAATATTTCATTTATCTAGTGAGAGATGTATACTATATAGCCATTAAATTTCACTTTCAAAAATCTTATCACCAAACAAGCAATTTATTTTCCATAAGTATATGATATAGCTTTTCGTTGACTTTGCACCAACAGTTCATGTAAATACTTATTTGTAAGAGTGTAATATTTTTAAATCTTTCGCAAGTTAAGCAATTTACCAAGCACTACTAATTCATTCAAAATACAAAAAATGTGTAAAGTACTTGTAAGAAATTTTTCTGTTGCATCGTAGATTCCATGAAAAGACCAATAGTACAAGCATGAAAATTCTTCTCTAAGTACGACAAATTTTCAAATGGCGCACCTTAATAATCATGGTACGTAGTCAATGGCTAACACTAATATTTTCAACATTTTGGCCTACCTTTGAAAACTTTGACACCCCAACTTCTCGTTCAAAGTGGTACACTACCAAAATATGACAATATAAGGATGTAAATATAGACAATCAAGCTTATCTCTTGACTAAGCTCTAAATGTTCATAGTATAGCTTTACTACAATTCAAAAGGCTACCAGTATATAGATTGTATATATTACATCGACCAGCCGAAAACCGGAATTCTAATCTTTGCATACAAGGGAAGCTTCTACAAAATACTCGTTTTGATTTTCTTCGGTTTTATGTCACTTGCATTAGACTGCACAAGGGGGAACCAAGCATCTTGAAATAAATCCTAGTCTTCTCTTCTGCATCAGACAATCAATGTACAAAACATTAGTCATACGTAGAATTAATAGTCACGCTGATAGTTTACTGTATACGTTAAAATGCGACTTCAATAATGTGATGCAAGTACATGAAAGTAAATGAGTAAGAAATAATAATGTATGTACGTACTCGCTTAAGGAGCTCCGGAGAGATCTTATAGAGATCTTCATCAACAGCTTTGGGAGCTCTACGAGGCGGGGCGGCTGATCCGGCGTCGTATTGGTACTGCTGTTGCTTCTTCTTAACGGCTGTTACAGCTTGACGAGGTTGACGTTTGACTCCTGCTTCTGATGAAGGGATCTCCGTTACAGTAACGTCAAACACCTTCCCTGCTTGCTTCCTATTTCCTTCCTTAACATGTGCATTATTTCCTGCTCTCTTTTCTCTCCCCTTCCCCTGCACAAATGCACGTGACACATTAAGTCTTCACCAAGACATCGATTCTCGGGGTATTATGGGATTTTCCTAACTAAAAAGATCGACGTATCTGAGATTTTGATACCATTACTGAATTGCTCTTATAAAGTACGGAGTAGTTTTAAAACGTGACAACTATTTCTATATAGACGGAGTATACTCCGTAGCCAACCGTCACATAAATCCAAGTCTCCCATCCATTCTAACCAAAACTAAATAAACACACAAAGAATACATAGGATTCATTAATTGCAATTTATATTAGTAGTACCATTAAAATCAATCAAAAAAAATAAACCTAGTAAAAGTAAAATTCCCAAAGATAATAAAAGTAAGATTAGGTATGGGTCAAAGTCATGGAGGCCCACAACCCATATAGGAGGAAATGGGTGGGATCCGAAGAAAGAGGCAAGGGAATTAAATGCGGGTTGCTTGTTAAGATGGTATGATGTTTGATGTTTGCGGTTGTTGTAAACGTGAATGCTGTCAATTATCATGTGAATGTGGAGCCGATCCATATATTTCGAATTATGTAGAATTTTATATCACATATTTTGTACTCTCTTAATATTAAAATTAGTACAGTATAATCAGTAGTAATGTAGTACTATTATTAAAAATCATTACTACTCCGTAACATGTTGGATGACCCCAAATTCTGCCACCAATTTATCAGTTCAGTAAATGGGATGTTGGATGTATTGCTAGTGTTAGAGAGTACACCTTCATTATCAACTTCCTCTGTTTAAAAATAAAATGTTATTACAGATCTCAACTCGTAAATCACTAAGAAAATTACATTGTTTTTATCATTTTTTCTTTTATACGTAGTTCTTCCTTTATACCCCCTCGTCCTTACTAAATGTCTCAATCTATAAAAGATGTGATAATAGAAGAGCTAACATGTTGATTATTTTTCTTTTTTTTTTTTTTTTTTTTTTTTTTGTGTTCCATCCGTTTTACCCTTTGGGCTATTCCGAATTTGAGACTCGTTTCTGAATGATTAGGTTACAGTCCCTCTCAATTATTATTGCGGGGAATCGAACATGCGGTATTCCCTACCAAGTATAGCTCAGTAGCTTCAATCACCACTACACTAACAGCCTGTTAGTACTAACATGTTGATTATAAATATGGGCTTTATGGCTTATTTGTAGTTATCGGTTTTCAAAATCTAACATAAACTCATATAATGACTTATTCTAAGTTCATTATGATCTTAATTACTTTTTTAAAGTGATACCAAACGAGCTATAAACTTAGGGTTGTAGAATTGTAGTGTTATATATATATATGTGGACTTTGACTACTCTGATATTTATGTTTAGAATAAATGACATGAAATTAATTAGTGTATCTACTTGATTGTTTGGACAAGAAAGTAAAGGGGTTAGTTTACCTTCTCTAAACACTTTTTTCTAAAAAAATCCTACAAGAATACTAGTCAAAGCTATAAACAGGTGATCTGAGTACACATTATTGTAAATATTTTGACATGAAATGAAATGATAAGATTAATACAGATCCTCGTTTGAGTTTCAATCTGGTTTACGCAACATATCTCAATCAACCCTCACCACCATGCACTTTCACATGATTCTCATTAATGCTGTCTTATCTTCCCTTTAATTTCGCCTAGCTTTCTCCCTCACTTATATTATCACTCCTACTCCGTACCCTTAACACTTTTTTAACCAAGTTACCACCTCTTTTTAGCTTTTACGATTGTAACTTAAATTATATTATCGACGTAACAATTAATACGGAGTATATATGTATATATAGATTATTTTAACTTTTAAGTGATACTCGTGGTAATTAATGATCCACGGTCTACACTTCATAAGTATATATGGAATGACCGAATGAAGTATACTACTAAAAAAAAAAATTTGCACCCCTTCTCCGTGAGGGAGTGCTTAAGACACTATGTACATACTTCGTATATTTCTTTGATTATTTGATAGAGATATGATATCCTTATTACTACGTAGTATATGACCCCGTGACCAAGAATTCATAGTATGTCCTAATGTATCAGAATCAATTGAGCTAACCGATATTAATACGGAATATGTTATTAGTGACCAACAAACTATCCCAAATACAAGTACTAAGTACATATGTTTATGATTTTACATTTATTTCTATTAAAATAAAAATGCTAGAGATCTAGACTTGAAAAAAAAAGGTTTGAAAAGCAAAGGCTGACAAAATCTTATCGCAAATGTCAGTAATCCTAAAATAATGCATCGTAAAATAGACTGCCTTCCATTAAATTCAACTATGTCCACCTATTATATTTTCATTTCATATTAACAACACCAATTTCTAATATTGGCAGCCTTAAATTCTGTATATTCTATAATTCTGTGAAAAAAAAAAAAAAACAAAATTTTCCAAATTTATACTCGTATAAAAAAGTAGTCAACAAAAGTAGACTGCATTTGATTTCCCACCTCATAAGTCGTACTCCGTAATATTGAAAGAATGAATGAATACCAACAAAATCTTAAACTCCTGTTAACTTCTTTTCCTACTGTTTTAGATCTCCTACTTTCTTTTGCTTTTATTTTTTAGCATTAATAAATAAATAGATATTAAAATAAAATTTAATACTTGAAATAATTGGTTAAGTGAGAGCAAAACCTGTTTAGGACGAGGTTTGATGAAATCAACGGTGTATAAATCATCATTAGGATGCTGATTTTGATTATGATTATGATTATGATGATTATCACAGCATTCTCCTGAGGATGAGCTGTACCGGATTAACCCCGCTTGACGTGCACATTCAAAATACTGAGTTATGGGTAAATCGTTTACATGCTCCCAGTTCCCAAACGCCGGAATTTGACTCCCTCTTATCTTCGATTCCTGCACAAACATTACCATAAACAAACTCAACTACAATTCAACCTTCAAAAAAAAATACTAAGAATCATTTTCACTTACATCCATTTTTCTAGAGAGAGAAATTAAGAGTAGAGAATTCCAGAAATATTTTGATGAGAGAGAAATTTTAAGTGATAGTCCTACAGTTTGAGGGACACTGCCTTTTATATGGAGGGAATAATAATATGGTTGGGTTTTTTATTTTTTAATTTTTTTGGGGGGGATTAGGAACTTGGGATATTGTGATTAGGTTTATAAAGAAGTGGGAGTTTATTGGTAATAAAGTCAACTTTGGGGTTGAAAATTTTGTTTTCTAATTTTTTATTTTTGTTTTCTGGTTTGTTTTTGATTGTTTTCTGACTTTGTTTAGCGAATGAGTAGCTTAGAATATGGGGATCTATCGTGAACGAGGGGCCACCATTGTTTGGCGAGTTTACATTTGTAGTCTCTCATTAATCAAGTGCTAATCCTAAGTAGATGATTTACTATTAGTGTTGTATCTTGACCTTTAATAACGTTATTTGACCCCATTATTTTAAATTATTTTAGCTTAGTCGATCGAGTAGAAATACTAACTCACGCTCTACCAATTGATGTATGCATACGTAGCTGATCAAATATTGCATACTCGTACATATAACTCCTTTTACGTCATGACAAATGACAAATAATACTACTGATAACGTCGAACACAAATCTTATTCTTAGTATCGATAATCTGATAACTATTGACCAATTAAAAATTAAGGTCGTTGACAAATCAATTGCAAAAATGAAGTGAATTACTGTCAGTGAAATGATTAGCAAAAATGCTGGCAATAACATGATTGACGCAACAATCAAGTGAGAGTTAAAACATGGGTCCTTGTCCTTCACGTTAACTCTTAACGGGCCCAAATATGAAATTTATCATTAATTACCAAAACAGAAAAGTCTTAAACCATGATTGTTTGTGTAAAAATAAAAAAAGAAAGGAAAATACGAAAAGGGTAAAAAGTTGAGAATGCAAAGCCCCAAAAAAAGGTATTGCACGATTTACGCGATAGATTAGACAAGGACAAGCTGAGCAGCATGGCCTCTTTCTTTCTCAAAAGTCCAAATCCAAACAGTATTTACAACAGATAACAGGGAGTAGGGTAAAATCTAAAATTGTGAAACTTTTGAGTAAAGCCAATCTACTTTTTAGTTTTCTTTTTCAAGAACTAACACTAGATTTCATTTTTACAAAAAACATAAACCAAAAATTAAAAAATTAAAAAAAAAAAAAATAAAAAAATCAAGTTATTATGAAATGAAGCCATCTTTTTCTTTTTTGTGTTAGGCAATTTAGTACAGTAGAGTTTAGCTATGAAATGGAATTAAAGTATAAAGCTATTCTAGGCTTTGTAGCTAGGAAATGGAAATAAAGTTATGTACTTGTTGAAAAGGAGTAAACATTTTGTTTTAGTGAAAGTTATTTATCTTTGGATCAAAATAGGGTGTGGCTAAATTAATCATCTATTACCAAGTACAGTATTCAATATTTATTGTTGAGGCTTGTGAAAGAGATGGGCTATCAATCCTAAAGACGAGGTGTAAATTTGAAGTTTAGTTTCAAATGTTGAAGGATTTGGTCAGTATTGTGAATTGTGATCCTTTGCTAGCAAGATTGTTGGACATGTTAGTTACTCTTCTTAAAGTAGGGCACGAGTCAAGTTATGCAAGTTCACATATGTATCGCAATATATCTACAACATACTATGAAATTTCCTAGCTAGAAGTAATTCTCACCATGAACAATGATAATTCCAAAATGAACTTGCACAAATAATGTTGTGTCTTAAATCTTAATCTATTTAATGATGGCCCTAAGAAACAATGATGGTGAAAACAAATCCTTGTTCTTCTCCCTCCATCTTCTATTTCCTTTTTGTCATGAGAAATAATGATAATGGTATAAAAACAAAGCAAGACATTTTTAGCACGATTTGTCTATGTGTAGCTTTAAACATCATTATTTTCCGTTATAATTCTACTTATTCAAAAATTGTATGTGTTTGGATTTATCTATAAAATGTATTCTAAATAGGAGTATAGCCTGTCCATTGTTGATATAAGCAAAGATTGTCAAGGCGGGATAAAATATAATGCTCCCTCCGCTTCCGAAAATTCGTCTCACTTGGCATTTGCGCGGTTTCCGATGGACATCTTTGACCGTGAATATCTTTGGCTATGTATGAGTAAAAATTACAAAAAATTGATATTTGAACATGTTATTATAAGGTGAATCTAATAAGGTTCCACATGCTAATTTATTTTATTGTATAAGTCATAAACTATGGTCAAACTTATTTTATTTTGACCACATGAATAGTAAGTGAGTCGAACTTTCAGAAACGAAGGTAGTACAATAAATGTTTAAGGCCTTGTTCTTTTAAGCTTGTGGGCAGAGCAGATTTCAGCATTATTATTGTTATTATTATTATTATTACTATATTTAAATATTAGTTATTATTATTAAAAATTAATTATTAAAATTATTTAGTATTAAATATTATTATTATTATTATTACATATTATTATTATCTTTAAATGTTAGTTATTATAATTAAATAATAATTATTAATTTTAAACAGAGTATAGCGGATTTCAGCAAAGTAAAACAAGACTCAACAGAACAGAGCAGAACAGCTCAAAAGAACAGGATATAAGTGTAAAGATGAACGCTTTAAACATTAAAATTACACAACTCGTCAACTCCCCAGTAGAAAAGTGATTAACTTTTGGTCCAATTTTAACCTCTCCTAAAAATGACTTCATGACCGTCGAGTTTTCTTAATCACAATCAATTATTCCCACATAATTACAATTCCTAGGATCTTAGTGAGGAATCCCTAATTAAGAAGAATAAACATGCCAATATTATTTGTGAGAACTTGATTATCTATGATAATAAAAATAATACTAATATTAGAAAAATAAACAAGAAAGACAGGGCATAGATTTCACTAAGAAAAAGCTGACCAAAAGACCAAAAAAGACTCCACCTCGTAGAATGAAATGCTCCCCTAAAAAAAGCAATAATTGACCTTTTCTAATTTTATTTTATTTTATTCTTTGTTTTGGGTTTGATGTCTTTCAGATTTCAGAAACGTACTACACTTAACTTTGACCGTCATTCTCCACCGTCAGATCACCGTCAACCGGGCACGTGCTTCTCTTATTCGACGGAGAATGATTGACTGCTTTTCTTACGGACATTTTGCTAACGTTTTAGTCAAACAACCTGTTTCAAAAGTCAACTTCGTCTACTCCATTCAAATTAGTCGGTAAAGAGAATTATCAGCTAATTTGTAAGTAAAACATTAGCAATGACTCCTTCCGTTTTTAAATACTTCCTCTAACTCTACATGTTGTATTATTTATTCGTTTTATTTTGATTAATGTTTGTGATTTATACATAAGGAAAAATATAGTTTTGTGGGTACTTGTTGGAATCGTTTCAATGAATAGATTATTAATTTTCAATTATTAAAATTTATTCTTATTGATAATTAAAGATATTACTGATCAAAAATTACCCTCGGCATACATGCCCATGAAAAATGAAACAAATAATTAAAAATGGAGAGAGTACAAATTAGTTATTTGACATTTTATATGTCCAAGTAAAATACTACAAATTAGTTATTTATAGTATAAGAAAATCAGGGTACTTATTCAGTTATTTGTCATCTTATATGTCCAGGTAACAAAATAATTATAAATTATTAGTTGATTTTACTTTAATTGTTAGTTTGTACCTTATTGACAGTTCACACTATTCACTACTCTGTACTTAACTTTGATCATTATTTATAATATATATGAATTACTACCTCTGTTACTCACTTGTTATATATACACAATTTAAGAAATTATTGAAAAATGTGAGTGGGTGTAAGATAAAATAAGAAAAAAAAAAAAGTAAAAAGATGAGTTTGTATAAGAAAAAGGTAAATAAAGTAAGAGAAAGAGAGTGTGAAAAGGTGTAATTAGTGCGGGATTAAATAAGTAAGATGGTAAAAGGAGTATGCTATAAATAGAATAAAGTTTAGTAAGTAATGTAAAAGAATAGCGTAGAACAAAAAGTGGATTAAAAAAAAAAAGTAAAAAAGAACGAAGGGAGTATACAGTAAGATATAAATTCATTTTGAATGTTGTTAGATCTCTCTCAAGTCTCAACATATAGTTTTAAAATGTCGTTTAAAAAAAAAAAAAACTTTACTAGTTCAATTCAAGATATTAATAATTATTTCCTCAAAAAGATATCAATGACATAATACTAAAACAGATATCAGGAATGACACGTGTCATTTTCTGGTGCTATTTTTTCCCTCGAAAACTCCCCTTCCCCTTTTAGCAAAAAATATTTTATTTTTGGAATATTTGTATAATATAACTATAAAAATATTATTCTAACTCATTTTTAACTATAGAAAAGTGAGCCACTGACCTGGTTCAGGTACAAGGACTACAAGATACTATCATTACCGCCTATATATCTTTTATACGGAGCATTATTGAATTTTGCCCAAAAAGTAATAATAAAATTAATTCATATAATTGATATTAAGGAAATTACTCAAAACATCACTTTTATAATAAATGTTGTGTTCGACAACTATATCATACTCTCTGTCCCTATTTTATTGCCCCATTTGACTTTTCACGGTCTCCAAGAAATGTGTTAAAATGTTTATATCTTCATTTTTATACACGTAAAATTATGAAAAGTTGATATTAATAAATTTACATTAAGATGAATTGAACAAAATCCCACTCGACTATTTTATTTCTTGTAGAATAACAGGAATTAATGGTCAAACTTTGACTCAAATTTTGACAATGAGGCAAAAATTAGGGAAGGAGGGAGTATGTTTAATTGTAGGGAAAAAGTGAAATATCAATCAATTTTTTGTTATTATGTAATTAAATAAATTAATATCTTAGTAACACAAAAAAATATATTATCTTTTGTTGAAACATGTGATTGAGATAATAAATTCATTACATTCAACATTATAAATAAGATGCATAGTAAAAGACATGTCGGACATAGTGACAAGTGACATCTTCTTGTGTATCCTTTTTTTCGATAAATAGCTATCATCTAGAAATAAACTTTTCAGGCAATAAACAAACAACAATTAAACCATAATTATTGGATAGCTTCAAACACATTTTTATATAATAACAAAGAGCAACGATATCATGTAGAGCATCGATTCTTAAGTAGGAAATATACTATTAATAATATAGGTTAGTGTTGCCTAATTGTTGATTATTGTCTTTAATGATCCGAGTAGTATTTATTTTTATCGAAATTATTTTATTGGATATAAAGGTGATATATTATTTGTAATTTATATATTTACATGTATGTTGTGCTAATAGTTTTACTGTAAATTTTATATAAATAAGTCTTTAGTCATATAGTCACAAGATTGTATAGTTTTATCGGGAATAATATGCATCATTTATGTAATATAATATTCACTGCTTTCAAATATTTTCAATAGAACTAATCAACAATAATTTTTTATTCTCAATTGCAGTTTTAATAATTTTTGCCTTATTGTTTTATATTTCTATTTGCGTTGCATTTGTTTATTCTACCTGAGTTGTCTCATTTTTATATTATATCACAACTAATTATGAGAAAGAGATTATTACTATCGTGCATCGCACGGGCACTAATCTAGTCAATAATTATAATTGTGAATCAACAAACGTGTACAATCAAAGCAAAACTATTAAAAAAAATCGAGAAATTATGTATTTTTCGTTTTTAATTATTTTGACTAGTATTAGGGGATGCTTGGTATTAATATTGAAGTTGAAATTAAAAAGGAAACAATTAAGAGTGGGAAATTAATCAGTGTTATTTAACACTTTTCCTTTTCATTTGTTTGTTTTAACCATGAAAATGAATTATTAAAATCTAACTCTCTTTCTTTTCGTTAAAGGAGGGTAAGGGTAGTTATTTCCTTAGTTATCCCTATCCCTACCTTATTAAAAGTTTTACATAACTTTTATGAATAGTGCAAGGGCATTTATATCCCTAAAAATTTTATTTTACATATTTGCCCCCATTTGATTTAAAAAGTCTTAAAATTATCTCCTTTAATTCCCTAAATTGATTTAAAAAGTTATTTATTATTTATAGCCTTTTTTTACTCTCTCCATCTAGTTATTATTAGATATTTATATTTCTAGATCGAACTCAATATCTTTTTACCGTTCAGTCGCTACATCAAAGTAGCACAACTAAAGTTTTAAACATTGCATAACTACATTAAAAAGTTATGTTTATTTATTATTTAAAGCCTTTCTTTACTCTCTCCATTTAATTATTATTAGACATTTATATTTCTAGATCGAACTCAATATCTTTTTACCGTTCAGTCACTACATCAAAGCAACCCAACTAAAGTTTTGACCATTGCATAACTACACAACATCAATCCAATACATTTATCATCTATATATGCAAATAGTTTTAAGAAAAATATTAAGCAACAGGCATAGAGCATAAAGACTATCGGTAATAATTCTTCTCAAAAGACTAGCCATACCACGCACGTCGTGCGTGTTAGAACCCCTAGTTAGACAGATAAGTAGCTAAGTAGAAATATAATGCTAATTGTTATCAAAACCTTCCAACTAAATCTTGATAACTGTAATGATTTAATTCTGTTTCTAACTAAAAAAAATCACATTTATCAAACATTCTCAAGTTATTGGCAAGTGGGCTTTGTATGTAGTTGGACATTTGGACCACACCTTGTAAGAAAGCCCACTTGCCCAACATTATGAACCAAGTGCCCAAGTCGTTGGTTTATGACTATATGAGTGATGAGCCACATTGTCATCCTGTTTTATGTTGATTGAAGTCCAAATTGTTATTTGAAATGGGCTAAATTGTTTGCCTGCCTGACCCGACCCGTATTCAGGTCTAGAAGAAACGGACAGAGAAATTGCGTTGTCTTTGTTCTATCTCTGGTAAAATTCACAAGCATCCAAGAAGATGGTTTGCTGACTTAATTTGGTAATTTTCTCTCTTCTAAAGCATAAACATAGTACTTATTTGTTATTATTATGGTTTTATTTGCATAACTATTGTTGTTTTGCATCTTTAGACATGAAAGAGTATATGTCAAACTATATGATTTTTTCTGTGTAGTTTGATTGTTTGGGGAATTGGGGTGATTTCATTTAACTAATTTCTTATGTTTGAGTAAGAACAACAAGTTTTACTCTTCCCGGGAAGTTCATGTAATAATCTGAATTATGGGGTCTAGTTTAAGTATAGTTTGCTAAGTTTAGTGTTTTAGTCTTGGGAATGTTTACCCATGTATTCTCTTGTGGAGAAGTTTGGATTCAAACCCGACAACGATGGCTCGCTGTATGAATTTATCTAATATATTTTGCGTTTCGGTTTTGGGGTATTAACGTATAATCAAGATAAATTGTGTGAAAGATCATGAATGACCTTTGTGCATGATGATGTGATTCAATTTGGACAGGATGATTAGTTTCTATGTAAATATGGTTACCAATTCTGGACATAGTCTGATGCCTGAACCATGGTAATTGTTGTGGGCATAAAATTCATACATAGAAACTTAGAAGACTCTATGTGATAATTATGGATGCTCAATGCTGCTTTGTTTCACTCGTTGATAAAAATCTTTAACTCTAAACCATTCCTTGTGTGTGACAAGACTGACGGCATTGTTAAAGATTTAAAATGATGTTCAACATTTAAAGATGTTCCTGAACATATGCAATTCAGAATTACTGGAAACTAAATGCTATGTGAGGTTATGTTGCTTAATTAGGGACCTTTAGTCTTTAGTCTGCATTCAAAATAATCCTAAGTTGATAAAAGATTAGCAGCCAGATAATAGGATTGGTCAGATGCTAATGTCAACTTTACTTCTCAGGTGCTTGGTGATTGAATTCGGCGACTTTGTTAATGGCTTACATAGCTCCGCATAAACGGTTGTCAAAGAACCAAGAGGGCCCCCCTCCTAAGCCCGTGCTTCCCAACTTCAAGAAGAGTCTTGATATAAACTCATCAAGATCAAGTTCTGATAAGAGGAGGGAAAAGTTTAACACATATGCAAAGAACATCGTTTATGCTAGTCACTCTATATCAAGATGGCTGGCAATTCCATCAATGGATGACGTGCAGCTTTCATCTTCATTAAGCTTGGCACCTGTTAACTTTCAATCTACAGAGTTTAAACCTGGAGAGAAATTTTTCAGTCTAGTTAACGGTCAGTCACAACAAGGTTTCTTTCTTTCAATCTGCAATAACCTTTCCTGTTTCCCCCTCCTAGATTTCCACAACATTTAGATACTTCAGGCTTAAGTATGCTTTGCATTATGTAAATTTTCATTTAATCATGTTAGAGAGCCATGACACTAAGAGCTGTTACTTGGAGCATACGTGGGAATCGGTTGCTGAAACCGTACATGCAGATCTGCTTTCAGCTTTTCAGAATGTAAGAAATGAATTGGTGGATCAAAATCTGGAAAAATCCAAGACAGCTATTGTTGCTCGATTTGGCAAAGTGCTTTTTCGTCGGTAATAGTCATTCTGTTTCTTACTCTCACTAATTGTGTTCTTGTTGCCTTGATGTTCGCTATTCTTCTTACTTTTACCTTTCTTTTGGGATGTGAATTGTTCAGATGGCTGAAGTTGCCTAAATGGTTAATATTCTTTTGGAATTTCTATTTTGTACTCGTGTATTGGAATATTTATCGAAATGTGGGTAAGCATTTAGTGTGTCTTTTTTATAGTGGCAAGTGCAAGTGAGTTTGCTTGTTTTCCATTAACTTACTGCAATAATTTTAAAGACATTTTATAATTTCTGTTAGTTTCTTGGTTAACCTTTGAGGAAAAATAGGTTCGTTTGTGTCTTTAAGATCTGGCCTATAAACCTCTATTCATAAAAAATGATAAACATAATGTTGTCATCTCTGCCATGTGCACATGTCATATCTTTTCTATTAATTGGATTTAATTCAGAGAGAAGCACCATGATGTTCTCTGTGAAGGATTTGAGCAGCAAAACCTTCCTGGTGATGCTGAATCTGAAGATTTATGGGTTTGAAATATATCTTGTGGTGCAGGAATCCTTCATGCAACCTAGATCTGGTCAAGGAAAACTCGGTTTCTGAATCCTGTGTAAAGCAGGTGAAAAGAATGTTCTATACTAACGTACCTGCAGAATAAATGAAACACATTAAAGAGGCAGTTTTGCCAGAGCTCAGTGTTCATTTTAAGGAAGAAAAAGACGTATATCGTGTAAAGGTATCTGCTGAATTTTCAATATTGTTCTTGTATCCACTAGTATGACATGGCACTTGTTTTGGTTAAAATCTTATTTAATTTGTTGTTCAGCTTGCTGATGCCAAACGACCGGATTCAATCGTATCTTGCAAATGCAGAGTTCATAAAGATGAAAAGAAACTTGAACTTTACAAGGCAAGTGCTTAAATTTTAACTGTTCAAAGCACGAGTTAGGTAGAATGGCTTCTCTTACTCTAAACCCATTTCTTGATGGCAGCTTCACTTTGTACTGGGGTTGTAGTTTATGTATACCATGTTATTTTGGAATTTTACCCCACTCTATATGATTAGTCTATGCTTTTGGCTTCCCAGCTTTGACTTTCGGGTTTCTGGTTTGTAGATTGAGTTAAACCCAGTACGACATCTAATTGTTGATATGTCTTGCCTTGCAAGTAATGTGGACCTAAGGTTGGCTCTCTGCACAAAGAAGACCCTAACAGCTCTCCAGGTAAGTTGCTGCGGTATCTACTTTGTAATTATTGATTAGGTGTGTGCTCTTGGTGCTTACAGGATTTGTGCCTTTTTGGCTACTGTTTTCCATTAAACTAGTTCTTGTCATTAAATGATGTTCTTGTCATATCTTTGGAGCTACCTTTCAGTTTTCCCTACAATGCATGAGTTTAATCATACCAATATAGACTTGAAATAATTATGTTAAATAATTATACATTGCATAATCATTGGAATTTTTTTCACTTAAGGGCATGTTGGATTGTTGGTTAGTGTTTCTAACTTTTCATGACTGCATTCTGCTGTTTATTATCTATTATTCGAATTATGTATTTGGGCTGTTACAAACTCTATTGCTTTGTATCATGCATTGTCTAGGAAGAAGAGGTGCAAGAAATAAAAAATCTTATAAGCTCGGCAATATTCGACCCAAATGTGAAGGGTGGTCTTAGGTGGTCTCTTGGGAAAAGCAAGTCTGGAGGTCAGTACAGCGTTGTTAACGTGTGGCATGCCAAGACTGAAACTTATCGTAACTCATCTATAAGGTTTAAATTGAGAGAGGCTGATCGCTATGATTTCCTTACTTCAACGGGTGAAGTTACAAGGGAAATTGTTATGCGGCTAACACAGATGGAGAACCTGCTGGTAAGACCTGTTTCTTTTAAAACAATTTTTCGGATTTGAAACTTTATCATGTTAAAGCGTACAAATTAATGATTATAACTATTGAAAAACAAAGAAGAAACTCCTTAATATTTCAAAGCTATGTTGGATGCAAAATCTTACTCCCTCCGTCCCTAAAAGAATGACTCTTTTGGCCAAATTTAAGTCCCAAAATGTTCATCCCATTTGCATATAAATACCCTCCAATTTGCAATAATATTTGTGCAAAATTAACTTCTCCATACAAATTTTGCTTTTTCTATGTACTTTTATTACTTTTTCTCTCTACTTTTTTGCAAATCCCATGTAAATTTCCCTTTTTTATGTACTTTTATTAGATTCCCCATACACTCTTGTACTTCCAAGTTAAGTTTCTTAATACCCGTGAAAACTCCCCAACAGGGTCGTTCTTTTAGAGACGGAGGGAGTATCTATTAGGTGATGTATATGATGTTGTGAATGATAGTTACTGCCTCATTGTGTTAGTCTGGTCCTTTGGTTTGTGTCTTTGCTGCATTTACGGTAAACTAGGCTGTTCTTTTTAAGGAAAAAAAATTAGAATCACGCATTTACGTACAATGATTTCCAGGAGCAGGGAAATGAAGCTAATAGTGTCATGGCTGTGCTTGAAGATGTGCTGAAATTGATTCTGAACCACTTCCTAGCTAGGGAAGGCAGTCTGGTCTCCTGCAGTGAATCGTAATAGACTAAGTTATACTTCTTGTTTCACTGAATTGATTCGGAACACTTCCTAGCATGGGAGGGCAGTCTGGTCTCCTGCAGTGAATCGTGAAATACCAACTAATATCTTGTCTTCTCGTGTACTCTACTGCTTGTCTGCTCGCTTGTATTATTCTTATATTTCTTCAGTTCCTCAATACTTGCAATACTTGTGTTTATACGTGGTTTATGAAATTTTGTTAGTAGTAGTACGTGGAAATGATTAAATCAATGTGCAAGTGGACCTAATGAGAGTTTTTATAAATGGTGCATAGGAGAGAAAAACAATAAAGAATTAGTGCTAATGGGGTTAGTATGAGAGGGGAAAAAAAATAGCGACAAGATCCCTTGTCAAAATAGAAATTGTTGCAAGTATTTAGAAACAACTGAAACAGACAAGTGTTGTGACTTGTGAGTATTTAAGAATGCAATCTCTTCGTAATTTGCAATTTCGCATTACACATTATACACATCGCATGTGAAGCGACAAGATCCTTCATCTACATCTACGGCAGCCTGAAGAAAAGTGTATCTTGACACTTAAAAAGTTGGAGGGTATGCATGTTATCCTTACTTCAAGGTGCTGAAACTATTACATACTCGTATTTTGTTACTCAAGAAACCAGATGAAGTAAACCATTTACTCTTATCATAAATGTCAACTCAAGTTTTTGCGTGCCATAAAGTCAATTTATTGATCTCAGTCTAAGCTAGTCCTTGTAATTTAATCAATTTTTCGTTTGTAACCTTCTCATCCTTTCTACTCCAAATCTAAGTTGAAGAATACATTTATTAAGATCTTGGTTGACTTTGTAAAGATGCTCTATTCTTTACTAAAAGTATGTAAAATTTTAGGGAAAATTAAGTTTATCCAATACCCACCATATAAAAATGAGGTTACCATTGAGCAATGAAGTTAATAAGGGTTACTAAATGGGATATGAACCATATGTGAGCAATGAGGTTAATAAGGGTTACTAAAAGCTATATAAACAATAATACATAAACGAGGATTTATAACCGTTATGCCCCGAATTTTGTTTTGAAAAAATTACTTTAAATTTAAATAATATTTTGAAAACATTATCTTAAATTTAAAATAAATTCAAAAAATGGGAAAAAATATATGGGAATTAAAAGAGAGATGTAGTAGTATACATGTAAATATTAGTCTGTGTAATTGCTTAACTGGTTTTAAATCTAGCAAATTACTCGTATCATTTATGGAATCAACACCCATTACAAATATGGAATCAACAACCATTACAAATTAAATTGTAATTTATTGTGTAATTACTTAGAAGTTACATTCTAGAGAAAATTAAATACGAAGGTTACACATATGAGATTTTTTAGAGTGATGAAACATAGAGTGACATTTAAGGGTGACACATAGCAATGACATGTCACTAAATCATATTGATGCAACAGTGACACATGACATTACCACGTTGACCCTTGTGTTTTAATAATATTATAGATTATAGATGGACATTCTCATGCACATTACTCAGCAAAGAACTTAAGCCTACAATTAAATACAGTAATTCAAATCAACTATCTTTGAAAACAATGTTCCTATTAAGTTTATGCAACTTTTCTGGATTCTATATAAGACTCTACATCAAATCCAAATAATTCATATTATTCATTAACCAAATGCTTAAAATGGCAAAAACTTTGCAAATCCTAAGCACACTCTTTCTATCCATCTCAATTATAATCATCCTGATCCAAGTCAAACCTGCTAAAGCAAGGATTAACACGACAGAATTCATAAACGAGGTCCTAGAAGGGCATAATGCTGCAAGAAAAGCAGTAGGGGTCGCACCTCTGAAGTGGGAAAATTTGCTTGCAAAATATGCACAGATATACTCGTCTAGGCAGAGGCGAAAGGACTGCAAACTGATCCATTCTACCAGTCCATTCGGGGAAAATTTGTTCTGGGGTTCAGGGAAACGATGGACAGCAAAGGATGCAGTCACAGCATGGGTGGATGAGAAGCAATGGTTTGACTATAGCAGCAACAGCTGTAGTAGTGGATATGATTGTGGACACTACACCCAGGTTGTTTGGAAGCAAACCATATTGGTCGGATGCTCCAAGATTATATGTGACAGCGGCGATTCATTCATAACCTGCGAGTACTATCCTGCAGGAAATTATGTAGGGGAAAAGCCGTACTAGAATCATAATTTACTTGCCTAATGTCAGTGTCTTCGATTACTCCGAATGAGGAGCTTTATGTTTCCAGTAATACCTTAAATTTGATAGTGATATTATGTTTGTGCCTTAATAATTTGTATTAGCATATGTTGGGTAATCAGTGATAGAGGCTGATACAAATCAGACCCTCAGAGAGTTGTTCCTATTTTCTGAAGTTCCTTCAGAGTGCTGTCAGAAATAGGAGTAACAAAAGAGTCCTGATTAAACAATCAGCAATAATAATATTTCATATTTTGCTCTTTTTAGAATGGAATTTAATATTTTTCAAGGAAAATGTTTTCCATCAAAACAAGCAGAGACTAAAATAGTTTATTTCTGCATACTTTAAGATTTGGTTAGAGAGTGTGGAGTTGTTTGATTTGCCCTTCAGAGTACTTTGCTAATTTGCTGCTACCAAATGAACCACCTACTCTAAGCCCTTATTGATGTGCTTTATAAAGTCGGATAATCCACAGGAACACATCACCTGTGCAAAGGGGGCTGCCAACCCGCCATACGAGTATACGACAATACCTTAGGACTAGACCACACTGGCTTTGACAATTCTAAGGTCTTCACTTACATTAGAAATTCCCCTAGTGAGGAGAGCTTCCTAATGTTTAATTTTTCTTAGCTTTTCAAAAAATAAAAAAATAAAAAAATTCTAAGGTTTTAACTCTCTCTAAAAAGTCCTCTTGTCTTGTTAGCTAATGCATATACTTGACTATTCACATCTCTAATTACTTATTATTATGAATTACGGAGAATGAAAATTTGATAACAAAATGCTTATCATACATTTATACTTTTGATTGTAGGCTTGTAATGTTATGTTTCTTTCACGTTACAAAAAATACTTTGTATACGCTTAAAATCTAATCAATAATTGTTTCGTACACCCGGAAGAATATCACCCTATGAATAAAAGAACATTACCTATAAATAAAAGAACACTACATATAAATAAAAGAATATTGCCTATAAATAAAAGAACATTACATATAAATAAAAAAAAACATTACTTATAAATAAAAAAATCGTAGTTTTAATAATTTATTATACATTACAAACGAACATAGAGTACATCAAAAAGAACTTTACATATAAAATACAGAACATTACATACAATAAAAGAACATAACTTAAAAATAAAATAACATTACATATAAATATAAAAGAACATTATCTTTCTGAAAAAAAATGTTACATATAAATAATGGAAAAATGCTACTACCCAAACCCATGGAAGAAGATGATGAACAACAATGATAGTGCCAAAAATTCAAACAATCAAGTAATTTCATGATAATAAAGCTTTATATGAACAACAAACATTATCACAAAACACAAAATATATGTAAAAATAACAAGCAAAGAGAGAGTTCACTATTGAAGCACAACCTAGGGTTTCATAATCATAAGTAGAACAAAGATGAACAAAGAAAGAGAAGTCATACCTCAAATGAGTAGAAAACCATTGTAAAGTGAATTAATAGTGGAAATCAAACAAGTTGAACACTCAATTGCAAGTTTTTTAGCCAAAATAAAAAAATACCCAAAATTCTCAAATCATGAAAAATCCGAAAATTTGGTTGTGAAATTCGGACTTTGGAGTGTAAAATCTAGTATAAATGTGTTTGTGAGTGATGAATTAAGCAAATAAAAACTATAAAAATCAAGAAATAAAATGGAAGAAGAAGTTATAGGGAGAGAGAGAAAGTATTGAAGAGAGAGAAAATGAATGGGTGAAATGAACATTACATTACGTATAAAAAAAAGAACATTACATATAAATGAGGCTTCATAAAAAAAAACATTACATATAAATAAAAGAACATTAAATTTGTCCCAATGTTCTTTTATTTATATGTAATGTACTTCCGGGTATGGTACACCCCCCTCTTCCATACTATTTTCGGAGTTTATTTTACATACTCGGAAGGTAGGTTACACGGTAGCCCACCTTGTGGCAAGATGAGATACTCGTGGTTGTTTAGAATTTGTTTGTGTGGGTCCGTTTCCGCTAAGTCTTATAATTTTAGCGGATTCTGATTTATATTAATAAAATGCTGCCTAACGTTTTCTAAAATAAAATAAAATAAATAAATAATAATAAATCTAATTAAACATATTGTCAGTTTGTAATTATAAATTTGGGTGAAGAAAGTTAGAACACTGTAATGTAGGTGTCCAAAGCTTCCATTACCATTTTCATGGCTGCAAAAACCAGTCGGCCATGGCAGCCCTTCACAGCTCTTAGAAAACACACACTCTCTTTCTCTCTCCAAATTACCATCATGAAATCTCCATTACAACTACCCTCAAATCTTTCCACCCCCACTATCTCTCTCCTTCTTCCCCATCACTTCACTTTCACAACCTCAATTTCTCCTTCAAATTCCACCCTATTCCTTAAACCTCGCACAATTTCCCCCCTTCATTCCTCCAATCGTCGCAATTTACAAACACTTTGTTATTTAAATTCATCAACTCAATTCAAAATTCCCATTTCAATCACTCAGAAATTACAAGTGCAACAATTTGACTCCGAAAATCGATCTGAATTTGTTGAAATTAAGAACCCTAATGTTCCGCCTTTCGTCTCATCGTGGCGTTTGAAGTTCAGTTTGAGTGACCAAGCTTTCTTCCTATTAACATTTATCGCTTGCACGGTAATTCAATTGCTTATTTCTGCTTTAAATTTTACAGACTTATACAGCTTGTTCTATGTTGTTCTTCGTTAGTTCTGTTGATTTTTCAGCAATGAGTTGCCTGCTTTTAGAATAGTGTTAGTTTACATGGAATGTTAATGGATTTAGGCTTTTAATTTAGTGTTGGTTACTGAATGTGTATCGCTTTTGCATGCCTATTTCACGTATCAATTGGTGTTATAAATGTTTGATTTATGCTTAGTATATTGATTTTATTATTTTCCTTGAAACTATAGTAATGTTGCATTGATGTTTTCCTAAAAAAAATAAAATTGTTTTGATATCATAGAAAGAAAGATAATAGTGCATTGTATTTTAAGTGCCAAATAATGTGGAGTAAGAAATGTTAGTTTAGTGGACAGATAATATAGAGACGAGGGAGTATTTGTTTGGGAGTTGATCCATGAATACATGATTCCATATAAGCTCCGGCGATTTTTAATTGGGGATATAATACATCTGTGCCTCAAATTTTTAATTAGTATGTAAGGAGAAATCGGTGGTTCATATAATGATGATCAATGTATTGAGCTTAAATGGATATAGACAATGTACATGGATTTAGCTGATTAAAACGAAAGGGGGAGAGGCTGTATATTTTCTCGGCCAAATAGTGTCCTGAATATACTCCTTAGAAAACGAGTAGAATGTCAAAAAACAAAATGAAGAGCAGAAAGTTCAGGTGAGGGGGCCCTAAACATATATTTAGGACATCTTAAATGGTAAAATTAGGTTTTTGTTTCTGAATTGAGGAATTAGTCATCTGACGGTTTATCCATGGTTTTGTACTCCACTCTCTTATATGACTGAAGTCAAATACCATCTATATATTTCTATTACTTATATTGATTACCTTTGGATTGCAGACTTCTGTGGCATTTGTCAGCTTTGTTGCTGCAGCTGTTCCTACCTTGTATGTAAGTCCTCAAAACAATTTTTGCTTTATCAAGTGTAGTCAAGTGAAATAAATTGTGCCTAATAATCCTGTTTGACACATGCTTTGACTACCATCAGCTAAGACCTGCATACACATGCTTGTCTAGTTGTCATCATCCCCTCTTTCCCCTTTAGCTGCCATCAGCTAAGACCTATTCATTAGAAGATGCGTCTGACCTGGATTTGAGGGATGCTCCTTTGATGCTCAAATCAGTACCTATTTGAAAAACATAATTGTTCATTGATGTGATTGTAAAGGAGAAAAATATGCAAACATGCATCACTTTGTAAAGTGTTCCCCAGCTCAAGTAGGTTATTAGACAAAAGCTTCTGCTATAGATGATCTACATTCATTCCCCACTTTTTTTTTTTTCCCTCTCTTCTTCCCTTTAAGGTGTTGGGGGCCTGGATCTTGTCCAATGGTTGCAGAAATAGTGCTGATGAAGTGTAACTGTCTTCAACAAAAAAAGGCTTAGCACATGGACACCTTGCTATTCAAACTTTGTAAAGTTCTCAGTTGTCAGCTTTTGAGAACATTATATATAACTGAGGCAATATAGTTGGAGGGGGGGGGGGCATAAGGAGGCAAAGCAGAGTGTCTAACACTGATTGATTAGACTGCTTATTTGAGTAATTGAGTTATGCAGGTATTAGTGTACTATATTGAACCTAAGATTATTTCTGTTTATATACATCTGAAAATAATTACTACCTCCGTTACATATTATTTGCAACTTAATTTGGAGGGTGCACAAACTACTAGGCAAAATTTGTTTGTCAGTGTAAATAGTGAGAGAAAAATATGGATGGATGTGATGAGGAGAGAGAGAAAGAGAAATGACAACCTAAAAAGGAAAGAAAACATTTGTTGCAAACAATTTGTATCATCTATTTTTGGAAAAAGTCGCAAATAATATGAAACGGAGGTAGTATTTACTTACATTAAAATATTCCAACTTTCACCGGATCTGGTCTATCTGGAACAATTTATTAAAATTTGCTTGTTCAGAAACACAATAAAGTGTGTGCTTAGCTAAATGTCTGAATTTAAATAAGTGACATTGAATTATCAATTATGTAATCTCTATTGTTAATTAGATAAGTGACATTGAATTATCAATTCAGACATCAAGCTATCCATTATGTAATCTCTATTAGCAGAGGAATTATGTAAATGTCTGACTACTGCTTGTCATGTATTAGGCTATGGGAAGAGCTGCTAATTCTTTTGCAAAGCTAGCAGACACTGCTCGAGAGGAGCTGCCCAGTACAATGGCAGCTATTAGACTTTCAGGCATCGAAATCAGTGACCTTACTGTGGAACTGAATGACTTGAGGTAAATAAAGTAGAGTTACTCCACTTTCATGGTTGTTAACTTTCTTTTCACCTTCTCAGATTATGCCTCTTGAGGTGCGTTCTAATTGCAAAGGATGTGGCACTACAAGCTCTAGTGTTGATAAAGGAAATGCTTTTTCTGTTTTGGTTTTGTCTCTGTGTGTGTACTTGGGAAGAGGGGGGGGGGGGGGGAGGATTTACTATGTTAGTGAGATTGAACTAAATAGTTTACTTTTCATGTGCTAAGATTTTCATAATTGCTGAAACTCTCTATATTCAAGAGTGAGATCTGCAAGCTGATAATTGCTCTTTCAGTGAAATCTGCAAACTCTCTATGGTTTGAAATTTATTTATTTATTTATTTTTTTTTTTCATTTGATTCTTGTGCTTCTCTTATGGAGTAAAAAAGTTTTCATGTGCTGTAAACTGTAAGATTTTGGATTTTTTTTTTTTTTTTTTTTTTTGGTGGTACTGTTATCCTACTTCTAAATTCTGCAGAGTAATTTATGCAGTTCTAAAGCTGTTGGGGAGAGAGACAGATAATTTTATTAGTGTACCTGGCATAAATGTTTATTTTCTGCCAAAACTTTTCATCTTCAATTAAATGCTCAACCTTTCATGTTTTCTTGTTTAATTGCAATTAAGTGTTTAAATTCACCTTAAACTCCTGTAGTTTTGTCATATTAATAAATGTAACATGTAAGTATTGAGACTATTGACGTAAGAGTGTTCGAAGTTTGGAACATCTTGGCTTATAATCTTTGCTATACACTTGTAGATTGTGGCCAAAATCTGTTTGAAATCCCAGATAAATTATCACTGTGGTTCATGTTTTCAGCCAAGAGATATCAGAGGGAGTCAATAAATCCGCACAAGCAGTTCAAGCAGCCAAACATGGAATGCAGCAGATTGGCTCTATTGCTCGTGATCAGACTATGTGTATGTTACAAGTATACTTTGGTTGCTTACCTAAAATATTGAGTGACTTCTTCATCCTAACTGAATTCCTTATAATGCTCTGCTCGGCTGCTATGCAGCAATGATTGAGGAGAGAGCGAACCTTCCTGCCATCTCATTTCAACCTGTTGTATCTGGCGCTGCAAAGAAGACCTCCCGTGCTGTTGGCCATGCTACAAGAACTTTAATGAATTTAATTTCTAGAGGAGAGTCCATTGCGGAAAACAACGAATGATCCAGCTGACAGGTTTGAAATTTGAGGAGCCTTGTGAGTTAATAATTTAATTTCCTGTTTGTGCATGCTTTGTGGTGCCTTCAACTACCGTCTTGAATTCTGGAGGATATGATGAGATGATAATCAAACCAGACATGAGCAAAAAATTTGTATTAGGCTTAATGGAAAATGCAGCTACTTGTTTGATAATGCTCACTAGAACGTTGATCTGCTGTAATGACTTGGCTAGTTTTGCAGAATCTAGTTTGAAAAGTTGTATCTAAGAAACCTCCCTCATTAGTGAAAATTACAGTAGTCACACATGACTCTCTCTCTCTCTCCTTTGTTCTTCTTTCACTGTAATGCGGGGGGTTTGAGCCTTATAACCTTCTTTTGTCCTAGATCAAGGTTATGGATATGATATTCTCGTGCATTCTGCCTTCATTAATTTGGAAGGCAGGATTCAGCAGATTAAAAATAAAGTTGTCTTTTTGACAACTTGTTTGTCTCTCAAAGAATCTTGGAAGAAAGAAGGGGATGAGAGGGAAGAATGAAATAAAGGAATAGAAAGCTATCATTTGCTTGTAACCTGGAAATAGTTTCAGAGTTACAAAAAAAAAAAGGAAAAATTGTCAAAAATAATACACATTTTGAGTGATCTGCCAAAAACAAGTCAATCTTTTGATTATTTCTAAATAATACAAACTTTGGGAAGTATCCGCTTTAAGTGAGATATTTTACCTGGAACCTAAATAACCGGTTAACATTTTTTATTTTTTTTATGAATTCATTTAAGAATTTAATCAACTCCTAATTAAAGCTTTAATCATAGTTAATTAACAATTAAAATTAATATCATTAAAAAAAAAAAAAAACACCCCTCCCCCTCTTCCCCCACCAACAGCTCCCCTCCCCCACTCCCGGCAGCACCAACCCAGCAACCCAGCTGGCCCGCCGCCCATTCCTACCTGCTGTCACCGTTGTCGTCGCCCTCCCTCTCCCTCGAACCACCATCACCGAAACTCCATCCCCTTCCCCTCGAACCACCATCAACGAAATCCCTCTCCATCCCCATGAAAAACCCACGAAACCCTTTCCCCCACCCCATAAACCCACGAATGTCACTGATATGTTTGGCTGAACACTACTAAGGTTTGCCTGAACCTAATTGATTTGCAAATTGCTCTGATTGCTCTGTTCTTGCGGCAGTAGGGGAAGCTATTGCGGACTTGCGGTTGTTGGATTGTTGTGCGGCGTGTGGTGAGCGGTGATTGAGGGCTGCTGTTGATATATTGTTGCGGCAGTCCAGTGGTCGCTTCAGTTGTGGGTTGGTGTTGCGAGGAAATACTTGGCAAGGTGATGGAAGTGTTGTGGGCGAGAGATGGCTGGTGGAGTGAGGCAGGGGAAATGGTTGTTGCGTGTGGGAGTTGTGCGTGTGGGCTGTAGTGGTTAATTGGTGATGGTAAGTGTAGCTGTTGCTTGGCGCAGGGGAGGGGAGGGGGGCTGGGACGCCGACAGGGGTTCGACGGAGGGCCAGGTGCCGGGAAAAGGGGATGTTGGCAGGGAAGCAAAGGGGTGGCTGGTAGGGGAGGGTTGGTTTTTTTTTTTTTAAAAATAATTATATAATAATAGTGATAATAAATATTAATTTATATCTTTATAAAAATTAAAAACATTAAATAAAATAAATAAAATCAAATTAAATTGTCAAACCAATAGAATAAGACACGTGTCCCATATACCTACTAATCAAATCACCAACCAGTTATAACCTGTTTAAATCGGATATTCCCCAAAGTTTGTATTATTCAGAAATAATCAAAAGATTGACTTGTTTTTGGTGGATTGCTCACAGTTTGTATTATTTTTGACAATTTTTCCACAAAAAAAAAAAAAGAAAAAAAAGTGCTTTTCCTTGTTTTTCTCCTTCCCACCCCGCCCTGAATATAGAGTACAGTAAGTTGAATCACTATTATTGTTATTTTTTAATATTATTTTACAAGAACTACATCATTATCTACCATGGATAGTCTCAACTCTTCATATAGATAGGTACTAGTTGATTTCCCGAAACCCCAGATCTCAACGGAGAGTTAACAGTTCACCCTAGTTGAAAAGGATACACTATACTATCTGCAGTTCAATTGGTTGGTTGTCCTTGACGACATCATCCACTGGATCTAACTTTGAATCTCTGTTTGTTTCGTCATGAATGGAATCCTGTTCTATCTTTTTGATGCAGTATTTGTAGACGATGTAGAGGGTCATCTGAATCATTCCTAGGAAAAATCCCAATATATTTGGTCCCTGTTTAACATGATGATTAGCTTCTATGTATCACAAAAGAACATTATTTTAGGAAACTTGTACCAAATAATGAAGGAAAGATAAATTTAATAAAGAAATGATTGTAGGTACTTACTGCGATGAAATAGTCTTTGAGGAAAAATCCATAGAAGAACCACATAGTGGCGTTAAGGGTGAGGGCTAAGGAGAGAGAAATAGGCATGAACTCCACGCTTCTTGTTCTAATTACTTGCCTCTGATATATGATCAAGTGTTGGTGACACAATATTCAGTTTAGATGATCATATGATATGTTTTTAACATGCTTAGGAATCTGAAGAAATGGATTTTGTTTTTCTACTTACCATGACACTCAGTGGAGCAGCGAACACAGCAAGGTTGATAGCTGCATTTATCCAGCCTACAATAGTAATTCTCTTGGAACCTTTTGCAAGAAAAGTTGTGAGCAGCATGACTAAGCTGCATACTCCCAGGTTAAATAGAACTATAAGCTTCAATGTGAAATTCTGCAGAATGTCAAAAAATGGATTATTAAAGTTCTAAACAACAGATGCAACTGGCATCAAACTATTTAACAAACTCCTGTAAGTGACTTAGTGCTAAAATTATGGCTTTAAAGCAATGGAAACTTTGTTTAGAATCACATAGGGTTACTTGGATAGGTAATTGACAAATGCAGAAGAGTAGGAGCCAAAATTCCCCCAAAACAAGACTGATTTAGCTCCTCGCCTTGGCCTGGGCAACACCGGTTTTACAAATTGGGAAGCTGAAGAGGTAAATTAGGAGGGGGAGGGGGGAGGAGTTGTGGAAAGGGCGATATAGTAATTACTTTTCTGCACTATGTTTTTTCCTACATGTTGATTTACATACTTGTGCTGCTTTTTTTTTTTTTTTTTTTTTTTTTAATTTTTTTTTTACACAAAAGCGTTCTGTCTGAGTTATTACATGTACCGAAAAATCAATATGGCATAGTATATTGAGGCTCAGGGGTCACATGAAAGCGACTATTACTCTCCTGGGTCTTTTGTGGGTGATCAAGGAACAGTGCAGTTTTTTCTAATTGTAATTAAAAGTTGACTCTGACTTCTAATGAGGGTGAAAAATGAGTGAAGCAGAAGATATACCTTTGTCTGTTTTGGTGCATATACTAGAAATATCACCAGGTAAATAACCTCTATAAAGCATCCAAAACTATTAATAGTGATGAGCAGAAATCCATCCGGCTTGAGGGAGCCATAATATAATAGCATCATTGCACTGAACAGCGCCACGGCATAGGGCAGTGACTTGTATCCTTCAGATGATTTCCTTTTGTAAATCCTGTAGAACGTTGGCCTGTAAAAGAGAGATAAAGCAAGGGTGAGACTTTAGAGAGCCTACTGAAGAAGTTGCTGGAATTGAGTTATTCGTAAATTCAGAATGACTAACAGGGGTGAAAGGAACACTCCAACTGAGACAATATTTCCTGAGGTGAAACAAAGAAAATCATGATTAGTATCAGTTTATACACGAGCATGGCTGTAAACAAAACCCAGAAGGGGAAAGCAATTCAGAAATCTTTTCCCCCTCTGCCATTTAACAACAGCTGTGAGAAAATTTTGAAGCTTTATATATATATACCTAAGATGCCAAATATGACTGCAAGTGTGTGAACCGTCATAGTCGGCATTTTAAGGGTTTGAAGCTCTTTGAGGCTATAATATCTTTTGCTCTCAAAGACTTAAGAAACTATCTCACAGCGTTGGCTTATATATACATAGGACAATGTTAGGCCACAATGATGACTTTGCACTGAATAATTCATTTGAAACATGTTACAAAATTTGGTAATAAGGTAGGCAAAATCAGGAAAATAAACAGTCTCTTGTTAAAAAAAATTGATTATAATTTCTATCTAATTAGGTAGCAGGATGTAATTAGTAGACAAGCACTCTAAGGGGCGAGATGGAAGATGTAATGTACTAATGTCAGCAATCTGTGAACAAATGTGTAACAAATTTTCAAAATTAGTGCATGTCTAAAACTCAATTTATCTGTTGCTGTTTTGCTACTAAGCTGAAAATGTTCTTATTAATTGGTTATGAAAATTGACAAGTATGCATAATTGATGCTGCGTGTAGAAGATACTACTCGTTAATGTTTGTACTTAGTTCATTCGCTATTATGTTGGAAGCTGTATCAGTTTTGCCTTGGTCATTGGTATCTCCTTAAAGACATAGCAGTAATCTTTGCTATACTTTACTGTTAGGGAATAAAATTTTGTTTTGATTATTTGATTAATAAAATATTTTATATCTTAAGTATACCTTTGATTGTGTTCTTAATTTCTTATCATATTCATGTATGCATTTCCTCTTCTTCACCTTTAGCCAAATTATTTAGATTGCATAAAAGTTTTGTATCATTCAATTTTTCTGCTGCGCTTATGCTGTCTTGAACTTCACAGAATCTCTGACCGCCGAGTCAATTCCCAAATATAAAGATAGTATTGGCATCTCAGTACATGTTAATGAGTCTGCTCTAACCTGCTCTGTGATGAAGGGCCAGAAGAGGGTATTGAGATGCAAATGAAAACCACGGGGATGGTAATGCAGGTAATTTAAGGAATGACCAATTATATCTGCAATGAAATTCTATGTACTTCTTTTTAGATGTATATTTACTTGAGAAGTATGCATTGTTCAAGCAATCTAAGGTTTTTCTTATTATCTGTTTGTGTACCATATATCTTTTGTGTTGCACATACGATGATCTACATTATGATTTCTGTTGGAAATCTAGTTTTGATCAGTTAAAGCTTTTCACCTTTGGCTTGCAATGCTATCGAATTTTGGGGTACAGTATTTCGTAAATTATTAAATGATGATGCCAAGGCAAAGTGGAAGTGTTTAGATGTCTTGTTTGATTATCTGAAAGTGACTGACAAACTAGGGATGTTATAAAATGCATAAGTTATTTTGTGAAGGGAAGGAAATAAATTGAGTTTCTGTACAAAGATGTTTTGTTAATTAAAATTTCCTGCAACTACTTCAAAAGATTTGTACTATGAGGCATTTATTCTGACTATTAAATGCAACGTCAGACGTGGCTGCGTGGCAGTCAATTATGTTCTGATTAGGGTGAGATAGTCAATTATGTTCTGATTAGGGTGAGATAGTGCAAATTTTCTTAATTTTGCCCTCTCATGTGTTGAAAAAAAAATTAAAAAAAAATCCTAATCTTTGTATTCTAGTACTACAACAGGTAATATTTTCATGGTATCCTGAGCATTGTTAGAGTTACCTTATAAAGCGAGGCATTTATTTTACATTGCAAGTATCTTACGCACTTAGCTGAAGGAGTCTAATGTCCTAAATTTGTGAGGTTGTTAGACATATCATCATGTATAGTCAGCTTTACTATTCACATTTTCGTGTATAGTTTTCATGCCATAAACAGAGACAGAACCTCACAATCTATCTACCAGAAGTAGTAAAAAACCGAAAATTTGGCCTATTCTGTTAAAAATATCTACGTAGTGTTAATTTATCATCTTCTTTTAAATGACTAACAAAAGTTTCACAACTTGTTTAAGACTTGATATATATAGTTAGATTCAATGATTGAACCTTTGTTAATCTAGGTGAAAGTTTTTCACCAGACAGTGTTTGTCCAACGTATTTTCTGGCACAATGATGGCATAGTTTCAGTATAGTTTGATAGAGTATTTTTTTTTTTTAATGAATTAGGTCAAATGATTAAATTGCTTAATGTTTGTTGTGAAGCCATTGAACTCCTAAAGTCCTATGCCTTCATATTCTATGGTTTGATGAAAATTTGGATATTTTCTTCTCTAAAACCTTAGCTTTTCGGATTTATCATCAACTATTTTGTAGAAGCTGAGCTCATTCCTATATCTATGAGTGTGTGTGTGTGTTTATTCGTCTGCTTTTGGAGTTTATTATTTAATTTTTGCATATGTTGCGAGTTTCATTTGCTTAGTACTTCTGTTTTCAGGGTTATAGCTTTGTGAAATAAGTTTTTGAGTAGATTTGGTCTAATTCTTTTTAGAATGTTTTTATTAAAACATAATTATTCAAAAATGTATTGTGAAGGGTTTTCACCTTGAGAAAAGACCTAATGTCATCAAAAAATTTTAACAGGTTTGTACCGACCTTTGGCTTATCAATTTAGGTGATAGTGGTACATCTTGCCTGCATATTTTTAACTCAGATTTTATTGATTGTACTTGGACATTTTTGCCAAAATTCTTAGCAAGGACATGTTTTTGTGTTAGTGTTTCTTTGCAATGGACAATTATTAGCCTTTACAGATCTGTTACCCTGAACAAAATTTAGTACTAGATTATGCTAGTGTAATGTATCTTTCTAATTTAGTTTTGTCTGTGTTGTCCTTCTTTTGGCTGGACAATTCTAGTACAAGTTTTTTGAACTGTGTTTTAGAACATAGATATACAGACCAAAAATAAGCTGGCTGAAGTAAGAAAAAAAGGGCAGAATTTAGCAGCTGAAAGGCCAAGCATATGTCTGTACTGTATATTTTCATAGAAGATGATGAGGATAAAACTCTAAAAGATTGAAATGGGTATCGGATCTTGTGGACCTGATTTTTTTTTCGGGTTATACTTAGGTGAGGAATTATTCAGTTTGGTTTCAGGTTGATTTAGGTCTATTTGTTATTTTTAATAAAACTATTAGCCACAATACATATCCAGTTTGGTGTGGTTAAAATCAGGTATTCTCATGTAATTTACGTATAGTAGAATGGCTAAGTTTTGTCAAGTCTATTTAATTATGATACAAATGTTACGTGAAGGGCTAGTTAGAGGAAAGTTGGAGCAGAAAAACTCGTTTACTATATTTATTGGTACTTGAAGTGGGAGATGAGTAGGGAAGTGGAGTTTATCTTAATGAAGTAGAGAGTACATACTAACATGAAAAGTGATTCATGGGAGTTTCTCATCTGATATAGCAAGGATTTGTTGAGTTTTGACAGGCATAGTTTCCTCATGTATATGCATTCTAAGGGTAATTTCACATGGATGACTCATGATATTACTTTCTTCTTCCATTCATTTATAGTTTTTCTAAGATTTTTCTTTCCATATCATAAAGCATGTACTTCGTGTGTACCATAGATATTTCTTTCCATATCATAAGGTACGGAATCAGAAATTTGTCTACAACATTAATCATCCTTCCTACTCATCAAAAACATGTTTATTTCTCTTGCCATAGTTGTAATTTACTTCCTTTCAAATTGGGGTTTGTTTTTCTTTGAAAAGATTACTTAAGCCTTGACCTTTTCTTGTCACTTTATAGTAATAGCATTTAGGAAAAATAAGGTTCAGTTAAATTCCAATAAGCTCACAAAAGTTCAATCGATGACTACAATAAAGTTGGTTTAACTAATATTTTGTACTACAATAAGTCAATTTAGATAAGTTCGATTATGTTCGGATAAGAGAGTTATTCGTAATTTTGTCATTTTGAAGCCTTATAAAGAAAGGGATAAGACGTGTTGAAAATGGCAATCAAGTACGTTGAAGTAGTAGCATGAGAATTGCAAAGCCAATATTCATCTAAGTGTAAATAATGGAATGTGGTGTCATGGACCTCATGGTTTATGGTTTGTAGTTTTGTTTGCTTAAATTAGGTAATGAATTTATTTCATGAAGGCCACGTTTAACTTTCTGATTCAACTATCATCCTAAACCTTTTTATTTTGTTTTTCCATCTTCGTGATAAGCACTAAGCTTAGTAATGTATTAGTAGATTTTTCCAACTGACAAATTATTGGATTGGATTTGATTTGGGTTCTATTTGTTTTTTTTTTTACATCATTGGTTCAACAGAATTCAAAGTATTTTGATATGAGTCATTTTTTAATATGTTACCATTTACTTCGTAGTTATAATGCAAACTCAATATTTCACCAAAATATATAATTTCCATGAATTAAATTGATGCAAGTTAATAATACGTTATGATTTCAAATACGGAGTAATTTTTAAATTTCTGTCAATAAGATGAAATATATGAGATGTTCATAACTATGAAACTTAACTGCAATATATATAGAACTAACTTTTTGCAAATATTTTTTGCGATATATGATTGGTTATAGCGCCAAGCGTTCTTTAACTTATTGCTATCATTTCAAATAAATATATTATATTTTCTTCTTTGTAGAAATCGAATACTTTTAGTAAGTGTTATATAACCATGTTAGATAGCTTAGGAGTATAAGTCTCTTTGCTAAAGTTAAAACACCACCCATTTAACGTTCAATTGAACAACTTCATTACATTGTCTATAACAAAATGAGAAAGAAAAAACACCAAATTAAAGTTGACAAATGTACACAAAAATCTACAGTGACTTATTAAGCATTATTTATCGCTACAACAAGTCTTTTTCACATTTTCATGGACGTGTAGTGTCTGTTTTAGATTACATAACTCATATTGCATAAGAAAAAAAGTGTTCAAACTTAAGCATGTGTGATGTTTCCTAGCTCATACAATGTAGTTGTCAACTTTTCATGTATCCACTCATTCTCATACATTTGTTGCTTGGAATTTGGAAAACTGTTTGATTGTTTTCGTTCTAAAATCTGCAAAAATTTATTTGGGCTTTTGGTAATGAATATTAGGTTTTGAGCTGGGCTTGATGTACATTGAGGTTTGTGTAAATGAACACAAGATGGGCTTTAAAACTCTAAGTAGTGGTTTCAAAGGCCCATGAATGATTTAAAGTAGATATTAACTTTTTTTGAGAGAGAAATACTCATTAACTCTCCTTGTACCTAAGTGGCATATCTTAGAGTTGAAATAAGATATTGTATCAATAGGTCAAGGGTTAGTATCAAGAACAACAAACAACAAGCAGAATAAAAGAGGTATTCTAAAATACCTCCAATTTGAAATAATAAATAATAATTATACTCCCTCCGTTCACAATTATCTGCAACATTTGCCATAAATGGGTGTTCTCTATTATATGCAACAAATTTTTTTCTTTCCTCTGTTAGTAAATTTTAAAGAGTAGAAAGACCACCTTACCCTTACTTTTATTTTTGGGAAATTATCAATGGTACACCCAAGGTTCGGGCCTTTCTCAATGGTACACCTACTCATTTATCCTTTATCAGTGGTACATCCAAGGTTTCATACAGTTATCAACAATACACCTATCGTTTTCTTTCTGTTAAAAAAGGATAGTTTTGGCTTTTTTCGATTTTTTAACTTAAAAAGTGACATGTGGCGACCTGTAATTGGTCCAAAAAAAAAATGTCCAAAAAAAAATAAAATAAAAAAAAAAACCCAAAAAGAAAAAAAAAAAAAAAAAAAAAACCCACTATGTTTCAGGCCACCTCATCTCCCGCCCTTACTTCCCTTTCCGGCCAATCTCCGCATCCCACCCCTTTCTCATTCCCCCTCCGTCCTCTTTCCACTACCGACCACCCACCTACCATCCTTCAAAACCCCTCCCCTTCCCTCCCTTTTTGATTTTCGACCACCTCACCCAAAAACCTTGTCGATTTTCGGCCACCCCACCCATGAAACCCTCACCGTCGAGTCCCCCTTGCCGGCCACACGTCCCCACCCATGAAAATGTCCATCCACAGCCACCCCACCCACGAAACCAACGAAAATCCTCCCTTTTGATGGTAGGTGGGTGGTTTTCAAAGGTTTCAAGGGCTGAGATCGACGGGGGGAGGGGGTGGTTATGAGGTTGGGTCGTCGCCGGAGCTAAGAGTAAAGGGGTAGGTATGGGTCGGTTTTGAGTATGACTAGCAGC